CGACTCACTGATTTGTAAATTTTCCAACACTTTTTTTTTGGATCGCAAAATAATTTATTACATAAGATTTGGTTGATATTTTAATAATAAATAATTGTTAAACAATGTATTGTGACATCATTCACGGCCAAATGAAATACATCATCTGTGATTTAGTTTTACATTTTGCCATATGTAGCACATGTATAACAACTATTTCGTTATGTGTTGCCTGTACCGGTGGGGTTCAGATTTCGCACGCTGACTTCGTTCGTCAGAATACATTATTGATGCAATATCCTTGTCTGATAGCTAACTCGGTATTATAGAAATAGAATAGAATAGAATAGAATAGAATAGAATAGAATAGAATAGAATAGAATAGAATAGAATAGAATAGAATAGAATAGAATAGAATAGAATAGAATAGAAACTCATATATCTAGCGTAGCTTTGCAAAAAAAGTGCAATGAATGGTGAAACATTACATATACGTAAAAAATGCTTGGATTAATGCTCGAGAGAATGCAAATCAAATTCGTCAGCTTAAGTTATTTGAAAACAAATAAACACAACACCATGGCCGTCTTCCTTTGTCGTGTTCGATGACTCATATGCGACGAATACATTGGTTAGTCAGTTAACACGTGCCGCGACGTTTATTGCGGTACAATGATCTCAGTAGATGAAACGATGATGTCTGAGCGCCTCATCTTAAGGTGAATGTTCTGGCAAAACGCTGGGGACAGAAGAATGTCCGAGCAATAAGACCGTGCTGGCGTACGATGATGCGCGTGTAAATTATACATTTTACACACGCCTTGTGCACACAGCAATGGGACTATACAATGCGGCGCGTGGACAACCGCATAATGATTTGAAAATGGAAATGCATCGAGACAGAACTGACATTCCTTTGTCGATGGTTTAAGTCACTAATCCTGGCATTGGAAAATAGGATAGTCTTACATCGATAAAACGTGTTGAAATAACATACTGTCAAGAGGGTATTGATTGAATAAATGGACATCGTTTTGTGTGGTTTATATTCGTTTAGTAGAAACCAGGTCAGTTCTGTTCAACGAGCGCAACTAAATATAAAAACATTTAATCCGAGCCAGTCCATACGATATCAGACAAACGTGTGTCAATACCTAGCATACGGGCAAACAAAATATCAGATCGATATGAGCCGCGTGTTAAATCCATGAAATACGGCTCGTACCCAAGGGGATAAAACAGGCAAATAATACGTGTATGGCCACTTATCTATGTAAAGCAGGTCGTGTATACAATTCAGAACACATCATTGATGAAATATTCTTGTATAAATATTGAGTTGTCTAATGGCGACCTCGGAATATAATCGAATAGAGATACGAATATTGTTCAACTACGCTCAGCCTCCAAGAGCCACGTGACAATACCGACAATCACTAACAGTGAATGTATTTGCTGATCATAAATTATACATAAACAAATATTTATTTTTCATATTTATATTAATACAGAAATGATAATATTAATAATACATGTGTTTATAACTTTGCTAACATCTTACTTGCTACTTGATTTCGATTCTATATGATGCCGAACGATTTACCTGTATTTTTTAAATTTGAAAACGAGTTCGTAAATTTAGCGTATCGACGATTACTGCACTACAATAATCTCAGTAGTTGAACGGATGTTTTCTGAGTGCGTCATCTTGAATTTTGAGTGTGAATGTTCTGGCAAAACACTGAGGACGGAAGAATGTCCGAGCAACAACACCGTGCAGGCGTACGATGGCGCTTGTGTAAATTATGCATTTTACACGCCTTGTGCATACAGCAATGGGACTATATTGAACACAACGCGGCGCGAGGACAACCGTATTTGAAAATGAGGATGCATCGAGGCAGAACTGACATTCCCTTATCGATGGTTTAAGTCACTAATCCTGGCATTGGAAAATAGGATAGTCTTACATCGATAAAACGTGTTGAAATAACATAATGTCAAGAGGGTATTGATTGAATCAATGGACATCGTTTTTTAAAAATGTGTGGATTATATTATTCTAGTAGAAATCATGTCATTTGTGTTCAGCGAACGCAACTAAATATAAAAACATTCAATTCCAGCCAGTCCATACGATATCAGACGAACGTGTTTCAATACCTAGTATACGGGCAAACAAAATATCAGATCGATATGAGCCATGAAACACGGCTCGTGCTCAAGAAATTGTACGTGTATGGCCACTTATCACTGCGAAGCACAATAACACGGAAAGCCCTCTATTTCAAACAATAGATGAGGTCAATATGGCTCGTATCCAGAGCAGATACCATTAATGTGGGAAATGTACAGCAACTACATCAACCAACACAACTGCCTATCACAGTGCCTGTCAGACTACGAGTACAAGGTTTGTAATTAATGGGACCTGGCTGTCACGAGATCGTGATTAGTATAATGTTATATATTACGAAATATAACTAAAACGCGGAAAACAAACATAATGTATACAGTCAGGATCGACCATTATAAAGTCTGGGAGGGTGGAAGATCAAATATTTTATCTTTCATTTAGTTGTGAACCTCTGATATTTCCACTGTAGAATGTTTGTTTGTAAATTCATTATTAACTCACCCCAAGTATTATAATTGTTAGCCCATAAACATACGTTACCACTAGCAACATCACATACTTCAAGAAACACGCGGTGATTGTGAACTCACGAATAATTCATATAAAAGGCAATAGTTCGTACAAGTCGTAGTAATTATGCTGAGACCAGTTAGAATACAATAGCAGTTACAATGCGTACTTTTTTTTAATAAATTACAAATTCCTCAGCGTATGAATCACCGTATCCTAAGTTAGATGGTGTTGTTACCGAGTTTGAGTGATGACAATGCAATCTAGTCAATCGTGGTAGATCTAAAAATATAGATTACAATATTAGCTATAGCATCCAAGCTTTACACTATCACAGTGGGACATGCTAAAAAACGATATTCGTCAACAAGGTGAAATAAGCGTTAATTTGTACATCATTCTTCTGAATAATAATTTCACATGTTAACATGAAATAATAACTTAGTTTAAATTACTAATGTTATATTAACTTAGAAATGATCGTAATGACGGTCAAATCTGGAAAAGATTGTAAAATCATATCTATTCTCATCTTAGTTTGGCATGTGGAACGGGTGAAGCAATAAGCCCATTCAGCTTTTCAGAGCAGTTCAGATGCATAAGTACATGATCTACAACATTTGACCATGTATGAATATTTTTAAATCTCACATTAGGTCAATCCCGATAAGTATATACGACATCTCGATGTGGTGCCGTGACGTATATTTCATTTGCATTTATGCATTTAATTATTTATGAACACATTGCAACGTTAACGTAACCGTGTTAAAGCAGGAGGGACGTCACCTGCGCACGCGCGGGAATTCAGTCCCAAGCGACGATAACAACACACGCTAAAACGCAGAGGCTCATGGGTAGACGCTTGTTTGTAAGCAATGACACGCAATGGCCATCTGACGCATGTGCAGGTGACGACTGCCCCGCTTTAAATGTTGCGCCAAAATATCCATTAACAGAAAAGTGTTGCAACGCATTGGTTACCTGCCATTTGTGGTTATTCTGAATTTCCCATGTAAATTATTGATATACCCTCAAATAAACGATGGCAGCGGATTGATTTTTACCTTTAAAAACCTCTCCTATCTAAACAATGCAATAAACAGTCGCACACGGTGCCATGTCTTGTACATTTAAATGTCGAATGCTCACCAGGAAGCCTATACTAATATATACACAGTAGTAGCGCACCCTACCGCAAAATAAATGGTATCATCTCAAACGTGAACGAATGAGGACCTAATGACCCTTGACTGCGACGGAAACGCTCTTCTTTGAATTCCCGACCTGTTTTCAAATCTATATTTTATCAAAGACAACCAATAATGTTTGAAAGGCAACTGCTATTATAGTGGTCACTCTGATTACTCTAAGTCGTGTACTCGAGTAGAATGGTAAAAGAAAGAGCACACTATCGTACGCCAATACAATATTGTAATTGGCAATTTTCTCGGCAAGTCGCAGAGCGAGGCCAGTCGCATGAAACACTGGCTTCCTTAATTTATGTTTGATTAACTTTGTGTATTTCATTCTGGTCAATAAATCAGAATGCTAGCAGGTTACCGATTATAGTATATATTCGATACAAAAGCTCTTTTGAAATTGACAATATATCATTTCAAATTGCACATTGAATTAAAATGTATACGTTTTTTTCGTTTTCCTCTTCCAATTACTTGTGCAATCGTATTTCCAGCGTGATAGCAATTCCTCATTATATACACGGGAAGTTGCTTCCAAAAATGCATTGCGTGTACGCTTAGTAGTACAGAATGTCAACTCGGTTCAAACTGTTTTAAAGGTTTGTGACTGCGATGTACGTTCGTCTTTGTCCTTAATTACTGAAACCACACAGTAACGCATTGACTATTTCCACTGCGAGACTCCTCTCGATTATAGGAAATTACATTTTATGATTCCAATTTTCTATGTTGTTTTTTTTACTGTCACTATGAATCAATCAATAATGTATGCTATCTCCTTCAATACGATTGACTACTCTCGACAGGAACTCCTATTAATGTTGCTGTTTGCACTCAACATGTACTATGGGTAGCGTTTCATTCCTATCAAATCGTCTTTATTATTTTGCCACATACCTCTCAATTTACACCTCGATCCAAGTATTCACAGATCGGTTATTCTGTCTGTCGTTATTTATGCCTACTCCTTGTAATACAATACTCAGATTAGTCTATCGCAGTGAAAATACCCTCATACCATTTCTGTATTACAGACATCAGAATTAATAACAGATAAGTGTGAATACCTAGTGAATCCCGACCTCAAACCTGTACACGGTATTAAACACACCGCCGTTTATTCAGTACTAGCATTCACATTTATATATGTATTATTTTTTTCTATTTTCCAGAACGTGGGCGATTGTACTGATTTGCATCGGGGTTGTTGCGGTCTTAGTAATTGTTGGATGCCTTATATGCTGTTGTTGCGGATTCTGCTCCTGTATCACAAGCTGTTGTAGGAAAGTGATTTAAGTAGAGCCATGCTGTAGACATGTTGTGTGTGCCGGCCTGTTGGAGCCCATAACGAGTTGAATCGTTTCTAAGTCTGGAAGCTCAAATTAAACATTCTAAATTAAAGACAAATATTGAATAATTATTACATGTCATTAAGGGTGACGCACATTCCACAGTTGCAATTAGGTCTCAAAGAAGTCGTTCACATGCGTATAATATGCAATTGCGACTATTTCCGAGGAAATCACCGAAGACTTTACGATTTTGCAAATGTCATTTTAGAAGTAAATATTTCAAGAACTTCCTACTGCGTGTTTGTAATCAATAAGAAGCTAGACAGATAAAGGGATGTGACTAGTTACAACCTTTTTTTTCCCGGAAAACGAGGTTAAATGTATCTCTCTTCGCATTACCAGTTTCTCTAAAACTGCACATTTCCTTAATGGAGGATACATCTACGTGAAACTACCGATTGCAAACGCAGATAACACTGGAATGTGAATACGTCCACTTATGGTGAATTACCGTAATTTGCCGCAGTAGAAGGAACGATGCAATCTTATTCTCAATCAACATTATTTGACCACGCAACCCAAACGACGAAGTCAGGGGACTTCGATAAACCGTGATTTGTTGACAATCCTCGTTAAAAAAAATGATTACAAAATGAATATGGATTTAAAAATAAATTATTCACAAAGCGCCAGGAGGTTTTTTCTCAAATTTGAGCAAATATTTCATGTGTATTTTGTAGACAAGTAGTTCTTATGAATGTTAATGGGTTCTGACATAGTGTGTATACTAATGTATGGAGTATATTACACTACACGAATGTAAATCGTATAAAATATAATTGGGAGGCAAATTATTATCCATTTGTCATTTGTGTCTTGTTTAGTGAGTGTCGCCACCTCAGCTTAACATTTTCTTGTTGAATTATTTGCAAAGACTGCCGGGTAATCGATTATTTTAATGTAGTACTTGCAATGTCATTGATATTGTTAACGACTAACGCGGCTGGCAAGTGAATTAATAAAAAAAGACAATATACAATATAGATATTTGGCTGAAATGAAAATAAACTGTGTTTTTTTTTTCTATGACGATTTGCTGGTCGTTTTCAATTACAAGTAAAAAAAAAATAACAGGGTTCAGAATCCAACAGCCAATTTTCCTTCTTACTTTCAATTAGTTTGTCCAACGTATTAACCGTGTCAATCTCGAATAATACATCACGACACCAAGACATGTTGAACCGCAGCGAGTATTACAGACGTTATTTCGTGCACCTATATCGATGACCTGAATGTGCAATATCAATTTTTACAACGATATATAAGAGAGGAAATACTACAATGATACTTGCCTTAGCCTATATTATGGCAATATTTACGCAGATTTTCTTGAATATATCTTGTTTGCGTCAGCAAAGAATGAAAACGACGTTGGAAATACAATTATGTATTTGCATGAAAGTATTTGCATGAAAAATATGATTAACGACTGGTTTTGTTTCGAAGTTGTTTTCTCTCTACTTACTAATGTCCTAGTGTTGTTTTTTCATTCATTCATTCAAAACGGATGGAAACTACCTATGCTTTCGTACGGTATGTCTAATTGCGAGCTAGGTTGCATTTCACTGTATCACACTGAAGAAGAAATGCAATAATGTGTGATTGATTACCGGAGGCTCATTGTAGCAACCCAATCATCGCATGTTTTGTGACAAGTTACATGTTGTCCTAAATCGTTGGACATCCCTTCCTTTATTTCAATCACACAATTGTGTGAAATTAATACATATCGCAGTTATAAATTGTAGAAAATAATATATCGAACTGTATCACGATATGCTAGGAGGGATATCATGATTTGTTAACATTTGTTTTGTTCGAAAGTCCCCCCCCCCAAATATTATGTTGTAAATATATTGATATTTCCCCCAATTAAACTACACGTGCGGAAATGGTTGGTCCGACTTTCATGTAAAACATTGGTGCATGTATATTATTCCGTATTATCCGATTTTTATTAAACATCAGTGGATAAAAAAGGGCGCGATGGAAATAGCACACTATCATTTTGTTCACTTAATAGTGTGGTAAATGTTGTAATTCCTCTTGAACATATAATTCGATTAGTATCGCCATTTCACCATTGTTTTTAAAACCAAATTGGATTGACATTTTTCTGTGTCTTTGATGTAATTCTGTTTAATTTGAGTTTGATTTTTTAAAATGTATATTTTTATGATGACATAAGATAAGATTTTAATAAAAACTATCATTCATTAAGAGTAATAGAATATGAAATTTGTATATTAATTGCTGTCACTTTCAGAATATATTCAATACAATGTGAAGCACATGCCAAACTAGCCTCAATAGCATTTCGTAGGTGTGTAATTATTCTCTTGTTTTTATGTAAATGAGAGTACACCTTGGTTTCCTGCACATGCTTATTACACAGGGAACATTCAGCACATGCTCAGTACAGAACAATAGAACACTTATCTTGAATGTCTGCTGAGTACTGTATTTCTGATAATCCATTGCAATCCCAAATATTGGCGACGAGTATGGGATTTATTTGTTCTTAAAAGGCAAAAGGGATACTTCTACAATTTGCACAGCCTTAGATTGTCAAATTTGTAACCAGATGAACAGTATATTTTCCTTTTTTTGACAACTACCATTTACATGTGACAAGATGGCATCCATTGGCAGCATTGAACCATTTGATGAAACAGCTGGTGATTGGAGCTGTTACGTGGAGCGTATAAATATGTGCTTCATTGCAAACAAGAGAAGACATTACAAGGTGTACATCATGCACGGAAAGAACCCACATCGTTTCACATGCATGCTCTTTCCTGCATGGACGTGATTCATTGTTTCCGCCTCATGTATGCGCGCAGGTGACATGTATCAACACTGATAAACTACAAAAATGATGAACGGCAAAGCATTTTTAGTTTCATGTGAAACAGTGTGTGATACAATTGACGCTCTCTAGGACCGATAACGCTTATTTTCATAATGTGTAACAGTTAAACAGTTCAAGGTACATCAAATAACCGCAAATGTAATTTTACTACGGTTATAATAATTTCAGATGGTTTTAGTGAAAATTAATGATTTGCAAAAATGATGAGTTCCAGATTCTTGATGCTATCTCTTCAGAAATATTAATTTGTGTTTTGTGTGTTAAATAGGCAATGCTATGTGGAACATAAGACATAACGCCAAGAGGCAATGTCTAGTGAAAAGTGGACACAATCTGATTCGCATGTGTTACCCATCATATATCCAGAGACGGAACATTTGTTCCCTGTCCTTTACAGCAGAGTTATTATATTATACATCTGTCACCGTAACGCCATATGTTACAGCGTTCCGTAATTTTGCGGTATTTTACGGGGTATTATCATCCTACCATATTAGAAAAGGCGAATTCCAATTATGGAATGATTACGCGCGTAAGCGTCCTCTAATAATAAATACAAACATGGTTGCCACCAGAGTTTAAGGGGACTTTCCCATGATGTGTCATTGGAAGGAAAAGATGTATAATAAGGTTATTACATGAATATCTCAATATACGCCCTCAGACAGTACGCTGCGCGTCGGTCGATACTTCAGCTGTACTGTCTTCGTGCATACTTTAAGGTATTCTCGTAATAACCTTATATTATTATATAAGCTCATTATAACTGTCAAGAAATATTTACAAATTATTTAACGATTTCATTTGCATTTACATTCGACGTCGGAGGTTAGTTTGTATTTTTAGAATATACTATCCCAGAAAATGGCTTCTTAAACTTCAATTAGTTTTAGTGTAGCGGTGAGTTTTTATTTTTATTTATTACATATACGAGTATTTACAATGTCCCTCCTTACACTATTACAGTGATAAGTATACGACATGTATAGGAAAATGTAGAGAAATCAGTTGTCAATAAATATTCACACTTTGACTCACAAATATGTATCTCCGCGTACAAATAATAATAATAAAAAAAATAATAATAATAAAAACCAGAAAAAATGTTTTACATACTATACATAGTGCCGTACATATTCAGAAGTTGTAAAATAGTTTATTCAATGTTTCTAGTTGAACAACTTGTACACAAATTGGAATCTACAGGTAGCTTAACCAATAAAATCACAATTTATATTTTTAAGTGAATTTTGACCGAATTATTATTCAAAAATACATACCAAGACTTACCAAGTATATCCATGATTAGTACCCCTTTTTGGTACCAATAAATCTTACGGCCTATAACTTTATTTAATTAATCTGATAGTGTTACAAATCCGTGACACAATGTTTTAATTTCATTCACAAAACACACAATCGCGAAAGAGATTCAGATGCTATATTTTACAAAAATTTGCACAGGTAAAACACTAAAGTTTGTTGTTGCTTTTCTTTGAATACCCGCTGTCTAACTAAATTAGCGTTGTCAGTTTTGCAACAAGACTAAGCAATATTGTCGACTGCGCTCTCAGCCTTACATGGCACATATTCGCTATCAATACCTAGTATTATTTAGTGATAATAGGTCAAAGGACAAACACAGTATGTGCATGTTCGCAATAGAACTAGCGCTCTCAACCATATGGCACATATGTGTTATTTATGAAAAAAACATTGGGTGGAGATTCCAGCATTTCTCTTTGGTCGACATTGTTAGTGTTTTACAATTGACAATCTATATTTTATTGTACAGAAACCTGTTTCTTCATTCCAGGAAGAGTTATCGTGGTCGGTGTTACAGAGTACTAAATCGAGATTAGTACTAAATCGTAATTCGACGATGACAGATATTGTGTGACATCCAAGTAGCAATGATGAGTTGATGTGAAATTATTACCCGCGTTTGCGAATTCAACTCGTCTACTTCAATATACTGCTGAAATATACAGAATGACATTTCCGTGTCTTTATATTCCACCAGTGTTGATGTTGAACGTATTTAGACGTCTATTTATTCCAAACCGATTGATTCATGCTGTAATTTACATTGCGAATAATTCCATCCAACCAAACACAAA